TTTATAATGACCTTTTGCATTCTTCCCAAATAATATTCTTGATATCCTCCCTCAACTCATCTGGTCTTCACTTATTAGTATTCAAAGCCTCAAACCTATTCATGAGATGGTTTTGAAATTCAAGTGGGATAGACTCAAGGTCAAATTTTGGTTCCTGTGGATTTGAGTGAACCTTCTTCAGCTTTAGTCTGAGCTGAGTAGTTGATAATCTGTTCCACAATCAGCACCCGGCGTTTCACAGCTGATATTGAAGTTCTCTAATGATTCTTTCCTTATATGTAATCAGTATGATCATGATCCTGTTCAAACCACCACATGAAATCCATGTGTGTAGTCTGCAATTATGCTTCTTAGAAAAGGTTTGCAGTGAATAAATAATTTCGTACAGAATTCTATCATTTTCTCTCCAGCCTCATTTCTGTCATCAAGTTCATATCATCTGACGATTGATCATTTATTCCCCATTCCTAACTTTTGCATTACAGTCACCCATTATTATTAATGCATCTTTGTTGAATGCTCTGTCAATTTCTGACTGCATACATTGGTAGAAATCATCTCTTACTCTTTTGCTCTGGTTGTTGGTGCATGTAGTTGAATGAAAGTGGGATTCATTGGTCTTCCTTGTATGCATATAAATATTATTCTGTCACTCACAACATTGTATATAAAGATGGATCTAGAAATGACTCTTTTAACTACGGAAGTGACCACAGTTTTCCTCACATTTTCATATCCGGCATATTAGATCATATGATTGTCTGATTCAAAATGTCCCATGCCAATTAATCTCATTTCACTAATGCCTAGTATGTCAATATTTATGTGTTCCATTTCTTTCTTAATGTCCAATTTTCCTACCTTCATGCTTCTCAGATTCCAATTCCAATCACTAGTGTTTGCTTACAACTGTTCCTCCTCCTTTGTGCTTCCATATTTGAGGGATTAGCTTCAGTTGCCATATCTGCTAATTTATTGTAATAGAGAAATATAATTGTGATAAATTATCTTAAACAGTAAGCTTTTAATTTGTCTCCATTATGCAGATGACACAACCTTGCTTGCTGAAACTGAGGAGGACCTCATGCACTTGCTGCGAAGGGTCAAGGACTGCAGCCTTCA